GAGAGAGAGAGAGAGAGAGAGAGAGAGAAAACAAAGCAACCTAAGAGCAAAATCCAAGCAAAACATCTGATGAGCAGCTTGCGGACCTACTGAGAACTACAGTTACTTCCACCAAACATAAGTGATTCTTCAGTTTCTCAAATACAATGTCAGATGCCCCAGTAGTTTTTTATGTAATTAAAATAATTGCATCATTATCCCCTCCTCCTTCCAATCCTTCCCATGTCGTACCTCCTCATACTCTCCCATATTCACTGCCTTCTCCTTTTTTAAAAGTATTTTTGTAGCATATACATATAAAAAAAAACTATAAATACAGCCTGCTGAGTCTGTTTAGTCGTGGCCAATGTTTGTTTCCAGAGCTGATCATTAAGCCCACTGGCTTAATTTTGCCCTCTCCCATTTTTATATTTTGAAAAGAGCAAAAGAAAGCATTAATTTTTTTATTATCTAGACACATCAATTTTCTTGATATTATTGATTTAAAACTTAGTACCTCGTGTCCTGGAGTAGCTGGTCAACACAAACCAAACTCCATGTTTCTCTTTCGCTTGGTGGTGGACTTTTTGTTTCATTTGGCAATTTTTTTCTCTTACTAGTTTTTTGTTTGTTTTAATTTTCATATTGTGGGTTTGGGGCAGGGGGAGAAAGAGAAAGAACATCAAGTTGGTTGGGGAGGGAGGGGGTAGGAAGTTGCAGAGATTGGGGGAGGGGAAACATAATCAATATATTGAATGATAAAATGCTTTAAAGAGGAAAAGAAAGAAAGAAAGAAAACAATCCTGGCACCTGCTCAGCTGTTTGTAGAGAGACTCAGTGTAACACTACACAACTAAGACTATGACAGGAGGATATTTTGGCTCATCTGGAGTGGCAGACATGATAAATATCATATAACAATTTTTTCTTCCAGTTTCATTAGTTTTGTATATTTAATGTGTGACCCAAGACAACTCTTTTTGCTAAACTCCAAAAGATTTATTCATTTTTATTTTATGTGTATATGTTGCGATCCCTAGTAACTGTATCGCTTTGTTCCTTCAGCATGATAATACTATTAGACTTTCCACTAGACCCACAACCTATCCAGTCTCAGGTTCTTGGCCACTTTAACAGTGCCAGGCATGGGTTGGCTTTATCTCATGGTGTGGGCCTTAGTCCAATGAGAAAATGGTGAGTTGATCTCATAACATTGTTGCCACACTTGCCCTATGGCAGGTCGCTGTTTTGGGTCCCAGGGTTGTAGAAAGATGTGGATGATGGCCTTTCTCCTCCTGTGGCGTTACAGAGTAACTTTCAGTACCACCAACTCTAGCCATTAAGTGGCGTTACAGAGTGACTTTCAGTACCATCAACTCTAGCCATTAAGGCTGAAGCTTTTAGTTAGGCACCAACTCAATGTCTCCATGTTCAATGACATAGGTATCATCTTCAGCAAGGGGTCTCACCATCAGGTTGTGGAGAGCAATCAATTATCTTGGCAATGGCACGAGATATTTGGGGGTTGCAATGGGTCCCTTTAGCCAACAACACAAGCTGTATGTAACCTGTGCCTGGTAATGGGGACTTTATTTGATGGTATAAAATGCTTAGTTAGAGTATCATCTGCCCTATTATTTGGTGATTCCATTTACATTCTTTTCATTTGTGTATATATTTTAGGAAATTTCTACAATAGCAGATTTCCATATAGTTTTTAAAATAGCCTTTAGTGTAAGTTGTCTGTAAAGTTCTATGCCTGCAGTACCCGTGCCACTACAGGTCTGTACGCGAGCCAGGAACTAACCCTGGAGACTTAATACACACACACACATACACACACACACACACACACACACACACACACACACACACACACGCAGACAGACAGAGAGACGCGGACATGGGTCATCCTTGATACAAGAATGACAAGTTTATTGAGCTCAGGGGCAGCTTATATAGGGCTCTGGCCACACCCCAGCTCTCGGGATCTCCAGCTACAGACCCACTTCCCTGCCATCAGGGTCTCGTGCTCAGAGCAGCTGCAGGCTGCTCAGAGCAGAGGAAAGCAAGTTGTTTTGCTCAGAGCAGCTGCAAACACAGGAAAAACAAGCGGCTCACAGGGAACTCAGGGTCCGGGAGTCCACAGTCCCCAATAGCCCCCAACAGCTGTCCCTTTCCATCGTCCCTCCTTTACCCTTCTCTTCCACCCATCCCCCATCTAATCCTTCCTGTTTCCATGTCTCTCCACAACCATACATTGTCTTTCAGCTGTCTCTAAGCCCGGAAGGACGCTGTTGCTGCTCCTTTTCTTTCAGGACCTTGACACTTGAAGCTACCAAGCTAGGTATTTCGTAAACCATGCTCAGTTTCTGTTTGGCCTGGGTTTTTCTCATGAGTAAACTGGGCTATGGAGGCAAGGAATACTGCAAGTAGGTGTGGCAATTGCCGTCCTCCTGCAAGTTAGTGTATTTTAAATTGAGGGCATTAACCTTGATCATTTATTTACAGTGATGTCTGCCGGGTTGTTACAACTCAGGTTGTTTTTTCATTTCATCATTAGTAGATATTTTAAGAGAATCTCTGATATTTTGAGGGGGGTGAAGTCATTGGGGCTTTTTTCTTTCTTTTTTCTTCCTTTCTTAACAACAATTATTAATGATAACATGAAGTCATTTAGTCAATAAAATTATAGTATCATGGGTAGAGCAATGAGAATACAGGAAAAGCATTGAAACATGGTTTGTCCCAGATGAGCAGTCTTTAGACATAAGAGACAGATGCTATCTTAGTCAGGGTTTCTATTGCTGTGAAGAGACACCATGACCATGGCAACTCTTATAAAGGAAGACATGTAATTGTGGTGGCTCGCTTACGGTTCAGAGGTTCGATCCATTACCGTCATGGTGGGAAGCAAGGTAGCATGCAGGCAGACATGGTGCTAGACACAGAGCTGAGAGTTCTTACATCTTGATTCACAGGCAACAGGAAGTGGTCTGAAACACTGGGCAGTCTCTTGAGCATATATGAGACCTCAAAGACTGGCCAGTGGCCACACTTCCTAAGTACCCCTCCTTCTGGGGCCCACTTTCTTTCAAACCACCACATGTGCCTAGACTCTATGTACAATGTGTAACAAACAAATTGAGGGGCTCTCATTTCCTGGTCTCTGTACAATTTGAACTTAGTTGCTCAGATCCTCCCAGGAGTAACATACGTAGTAATTGAGAAAGACATTTATTTTTTAAGGACATCTAAAATCATAGTAACAACCCCTACTTAAATTACAAAAGCAAAACTCACTTCCATCTCTTGTTATAAATTCATTAAAAGGTGAGAAGTGGGGAAGTTCTGTTCATTTGCAGGGCAAAGTTCTAGGGAGAATACTGGACCGTGGCTAATGACGGCACTGTGCTGTGGGAACCAACAGTTAGTTCACAAAGGAAAGTTAATAACTTCTTAAAGGGTTAACTCACTAATCTCGCTAATGGTCCTGATTTTAATTATGTGAAGTGTCCTATTTCAAAAAAGACTGGAAGCTGATGGGAAAATACCAAAAGTGGCTTCACCCTTTTTGAAGGGTAAAGATGAAAGAATCTTCTCTCCCATTGCGGATCTGGACCACTGGATTTTAGTTATTTATAATATACCATGGCCAGGTACTGCTTTGCAAATTGAAAATAAATCAGACAGGAAATTTTTATTAAAATCCAATTTCATATGCATGCTAACGCTGTACTGTAAAGTGAAATGAAGAGAAAACCCGTATTACACTCAGCTCAATGAAACATGGAGACGGAAACAACTGGGGGGGGCGATTTCCAAAGGCACGTGTACTGTAGGAAATGCCTGACAGCGGAGTCTGAGTGCATCTAAGACCCAGAGGGGCCCAGAGCCTGTGATGAGTATGACTGCTTAGACAAAACACGCACATGGAGAGAGTCACCCTCCGGAGAAGTCCAACTTAACCATGCAAAATTTAAGAATGGACTGAATTGGTGTCACTTGAAGTCCTTAAGATCCATTCACCTTTTTTCTTTTGTTTCGCTTTATTGTATGTGGATGGGTGTTTTGGTTCTATGGATGTTTGTGTACCATGGTATTGCATTGTCAGAAAAGAGATTCAGATCCCCTGAAACCGGAGTTACAGGCTATTGTGAACCACTCTGTGCGTGCTGGGAATTGAACCATGGTCTTCTGAAAGAGCACTCAGTGATCTCGATGATTGAGCCACTGATTCTGTCCCCACAAATTAGAGGGATGAAGGGGACTGAGATAAAACGAAGGTCTATTCAATTTAAAAAAAACATTAAAATAATGGATCGAGAGTAGTGGGGTTTCATTAAACATTTGAAATGATCTGAAGTAAAGCGGTCATAGGGAGGAAACACCTGTAAAAATGATGCTAGGTACTGAAAAGAGGAACCACTGGGGTTTAGCCAGGCTTAAGGAGCAGGGTTTCTGATTGGCTCCTCCCTCTCCAGCACCTGGGCCATCCCCTGCTCTCCACTCACTAAGGATAAGGGCCTGGATTCCACCGGTAACTCTAAGTGTCTGCTAAGAGCACAGCTACACAAGTAAACAGCAGAACACGATGTAACACAGTTTAACACGAACCGGATACCGGTCCTATTGCAAAAGTTAAAAAAGAAAATAAGCAAAACCAATATTTAGCAAATGTTACCCTTGAAGAAGCACATTTATTATTCTAAAGACATTTAAATTAACATAAGACCGCCAAAATATATTTTATTACAAGCATTTGTTCCTTTAAGTTTAGCATTTAATTCAGTGGCTGTGTTCTGTTTTTCTTTAGTTTTCCACGTGCCTTTAATTTTGTGCAGTTAAAATACTGCAATAGTAAGACAGGTTTGTCACTGTGTTGGAAGAAAGAGCTTGTGTAACTTTGTTAAACGATTTGTGTTAGTTTAAATACTGCATGTTCTTGATTTCTAGATCTTTTATTTTCTGTAGTAGAAAATTCTAGATTCTACTAGACAAGGCTTGTGTCACGGGCAGTGATGCGTGTAGAGGTAAATCAAAGAAAATGGAAAGTGATTCTCTAGCTGCCTAGGGAAAACTTCCAACGATTTTTGTGTACTCTTTGTGTAGTTAAGACTCCAGCACCAGGGTAGAGCTACGCCTTTCCATCGCGGGACTAGATCTCCCACCTCGATTGCACCTGCCTCCGCGAAGTTTCTTTTCCGGAGGTCAAAGGCAGTTTTCATCCTAGCACCTACCCCTCATCTGGCTTCTCCCTGATGCCTGAGGCCATGTGACAGCCCCTAACACCTGTACAGCCACCAGCTCACAGCGCCCCCATCCTCCTCGCCAGGTACCGACCAGGCCAAGCTCGGTCTTCCCCGGAGGTCACGGTCTAGGAGCTTGCCCGGCTTGGCCGACAGGGGAGGGGCTGAGCCTGAGCCAGAGCCGCAGCCCGAGCTCGTGCAGCCTGATTATCACATGACTCGACAGCGGTAGCGGTGGCAGCAGGAGCGGCGGGTCCGCGGGCTCGCCGGGTGGGCTCAGTTCCGCGCACGCAGGAGTGGGGCGCAGGGGGCGGGGAAGGGACCCGCTGCAGCCGCCGCCCGCCAGC